CAGCTGTTTTGTGGACTGCATCGAGTAGAAAGTGAAAGATCTTGTCAGTTTGTTCATCTTTTGGCTCATGCAATGATCCGCAGCTCGCACTGCATGCTTCACGGAAAGCCGAGAATGTTTCTGTAAAGCTTACAGAGCAGGCTGTAGAGCGTGGAGGTGCGCTATGTATTTGAGGGCAAGCCCGGCCGGGAAAGGCCCAGAACAACATACTAAGGGAACCTTAACAAATGGTTAACAGGGAAAGATCAGGGAAACGTAGCTTTTTTGAGAGCATCCGAGCTAAAGAATGAATGGAGAACCATGATCGCCGATGTCTGTCGCAGATCTGGCACTGGATGATGATGATGGTATCATTAATATATATTACAAGACATCTCTCCCGCCTACAGCCGGGTACCCATTCTCACTTATTTTTTTCAGTACAGGTTTTACGACGCTCACAACTGCATAAGGTCATATGAGCACCAGAAGATTAGAGATATTACAAGAGAGTAACACACATAAAAAAGAAGAAGGGCAGATATGGACTATAGATGTTTGACAGGAAGGAAGAAGCAAACCACACCACAGCACCCGCGAACCCCCCACTTTCTCACTTTGATGAAGTGAGGAAAATTCATACAACATACCTTTACTAAGGAAATAATTTCGGCCCCATGGCAGGCTTCAAACCCATGACCATACAGCCACAAAGCACTTAAACAGTATTTCTATTCTTGCTAACTACTCCAAATCAGTCTTGAATTCTTTACTCCAAATACATCTAGGATATATAGAGATCTAGATCTAGAGTCTTGCTCTATAAAAAAAAACCTACGCACCAAATACGCGCCAAATTTTAAAATGTCAATAGGCTTAACATTTTGTGAGTCTAAACGAACTCAACGTGTTGGGGTCATGACTACACCAATAAATATATCTAGAAAAAGTCAATACAATGAAGTTTGGACTGAAGTATCCATCGACTCTGCGAAGCACACTTCCAAACAGAGTTGGATATCGAGATTCTAGATCTAGGTTTGAAAATTAAAAGAAGCAGCTGTCTCACACACACGACGAAGCGCGAACCGAAACGGAAGTAGTCCCCAGTAAAATATGAAATGGCTAATGGCAGAGTGAAAACACCCGAGAGCTTCGATTTACAGGAAAAAGGGGACTGAACCGCACGATGCCATAGGGGCCTAATTTGCTGTCAGTGACGAGGGTGGCTTGGTCTTTCACGACTTTCAAGTAGAGGGAATTGCAGCTTTCGTTTCAACCCATCCCCCCCCCCCCCTAAGAAACTGGTCCAACAATCCCCACAACGAAGTATGCTTTGTATGTGACAATGCTCGTGCACAAAGGCAGGCTTTAAATGGCAAATCATCTTTAGTTTGGGGAAGAAATATCTCCCCCGCCCTCCCCCCTTAGTACGCCTTTTCATAATACCTACGAAAACGCTTATGAATTTGGAAATACGATTTGAAACCGTGGCTCGGTGAAGCAAATGCTCACTCAGCTGACTCATCAACAAAGGATGGTCACACTTGCCCAGATGATGGAACAAAAAACATAAGCTGTGACTATAATGAAAATGGCAGCTGCCTTCAGATCAATGCAAGCCTATAAGCCATAGCGTTTTGTAGTGCAACAATAAGTACATAAAAGTAAAAGTAAACTTGGCTTTATATTTCACTCAGTTAGTTCTATAATATACCAACAGTATGTTGATTTGTATCATAACCATTCGTTTCTGTTAACATGTGAGTTTATTTTCGGTTTTTAACATAATTTAACTATTCCTTTTGTTTCACATGATTTCTTCCTTGTGGCACCACACGGCTTACGTCTAACTTTTCGTGGCAAAAAAACCCAAACCCTTTAACTACTTACCATGATATACTTCTTATACTTTTAGCCTCCAGTTTAGTTT